GAAACTTTCCTCTCAGTTTCTATTTAATTTCAACTGAAACACCACTTACTGTGATACAGCTTTCTAGCTGCAAAGACAAACGGACAGAGCTGACTCCTCCTTCTGCCACTAGAAACAAGGATGTGCTGCAGCTCCCTGTGACGGGCACAGCGACCCAGCTCTCTGCTGCTGAAGGGAGAAAGTCGTGTTCCTCCTTCCTCTTTCTGTGCTCTCACTGCAAATTTGTACCAGAGCCGGTGCTAGCAGGATCTCCATCACCAACTGATTCAGCTCGCTCACGCAGCAGAAAACTAACCTGCCAAGCGCGCAGCTTTCCCCTGCGTTAGTGGTATCGTTAAGCTGTACAGTCAGCACTACAGCCAGCAGAAGGGATGGAGGCACACCACACAACCAGCAGCAGGAGAAAGGGAAGGAGTAAGATGTCTGTCTCTTAAGATCCACTTACAGTTCTGTCAGCTCAGAGGAAAACAGAGAAACAGACTGCTGCTGCTGGTATGCTGCGGTGTTACCACACACTGCCCTTTTTCACATCTTCCCTCCCTTGCTATTGTCCAGAATTTTCCTATCAGCACAAAAGAGAAAAATTTGGGTGAGTTTCACAGAGGGCCAGGAGCCCTACTTTTATAGTAATGCCCTAGGCTTGTTTTAATAGAAAGCTCTCTACAGTCTACAAAGGCTTAAATTTACAAACCCTGTGCATATTCCAAGGCACCTGGAGGAGTGGACAGGCACCAGCAGAGTTTGAGGCAGGGCCAGCTATACAGCGCCAGAGGAGGAGTCATCAAAGGCAAGAAAAATAACGTTTCCCACCTATTTTTCTACAGGGTATAAAAGATCAGCTCAATGAGAAGAGATTTCACATTCAGCCCTAGGAAAGGTGCAGGGGAAAAAAAATTGGATTGCTCTTTGAACAGCTGTAGAGAATGAAAGAAGATTTAGAGTAGCATCTACCAGAAAAACACATGCAATACTGGAGGTGAAATGTGACAGGAGGTTGTACAGGCGCTGGAGAAATGATTAAGATCGCAGCAAGGCGCTGCAGAGGACGGAGACAGGAGGGTAGAAGATGAACAGATGAACAACAAAGCATGTGAGAGCAGGACTGAGGAAGTGAGCATGACAGTTGTTAAAGCGCACAAGCAAATAGGTGGTGCAACAAACAGTATGTGGACGTGGTACTCAAGTTTAGGAACAGTTGCTGCTCGTGTTCATTGATTTACTCATCTAACACACATAAAAACTTAAACATAGCTAAATGACCCAGTGCTGCAGCACAAAGAACAGCATCCATGCGATCCAATTTGGTTATGGACACAGCAGTAACTTAAAAGCCTTATGCAGGCTGCATTTCCTCATTTAGCAGCCCTGCTGTTCAGGCTGCCCCTATCTTCCTGCTCACTGCAGTCCCGTCCCTTCCCCTGATCGTGCTGGCACCACCACCATGCAGCAAGCAGGGAATGGGCCTGGGGAAAACTAATCCAGCCCCCCAAGGGTCACTTCCTCAGCCAGTCTTACTATGTAGTGACCCAAATGTTTGTGACAGGGCAGTGAAGAAGACTGAGCAAATCACCAGGTGTGGAGGTGCTTAAGCCGGTATTACTGTCCAAAAAATGTTTGTGGAACCATGGTTTCGGTCTGCGAGGCAGTAGGCAAACTTCAGACATCCCTGGATTTCTCAGGCTACCATGCTGTACTGCTCCTTTCTCCCCAGGTGAGTCTCTGCTCAAGAAAAGAACCTGCTAAGTTTAGAAAGCTTATCTCAAAAAAATTCTGCCAGAAGAGGAAAACACAACCCAGACTTGCAGTTCCTCCAAACCAGAGAGATAAGTTTTACAGATAAACCCCACTGACCAACCAAGCTGTCACTGGAACAATGCTTAGAGGATCAGAGACATCGCTTAAACTCTCTCCTCCAAAAAGTGTGAAAACCTCAAGGGCAGACATCTTTGTTTCATTTTCCTGCAAGAAGGCTGCTTTAAAATAATTCATTCTAAGGCTTTCTGCAGCTTTATCTAAAGAAGCTGGTGTTGTCTAGTCTGAAAGACCAAACCGACACCTAATGAAATCCAGAAGAGCAATTGGCAGGACTCTTGTATCTTTGCAACTATTTTTACATCCTTCTCCTAATGGTCTCAGATTTATGATAAAGATCAGATCTGAAAACGCTCCCAAGAGAAAAGAGGTATGCTTATTATCTCAAGGGGTAAAAAAAATCCCTGTACTATGCATTGGGCTCCCTGTGATACTACATAAAAAAGCATCCATGTTGTTTTAAAAACGCATGTATGTAAGTTCATACATAAATAATTAAATAATATAAATAATTTACATGCATACAGGAACACACTTCTTTCAAATCCTTTACCCCCTCCCATTAGGAGGCTCTTCCACCACCTGCAGTTTTTTATTCCCTCCACTTCTCAAGAGATTCTCTAAACCTAGTGCTGCCAGAAAAAAAAAAAAAAAGACAGCAGCAGCATGAAATGAGAAAATCCTCGTCTGTTTGCAAATGCTGTTTTACCTGGCAAACCTAAAAGAGCAACTAGACCCAGCCACATGTTTGTCTATCTCCTACATAACAGCGCACAAGGCTGTTTCAGAAACATCCAAGAATGGAAGGTGTCGTGCTTGTTCTCACTCACCTTTGTAACTGCGGTACTACCAAGTGACTCAAAAGTTTTGAAAAATAAACCAGGTGCCAGTGCCTTAGTGCTGGCAGAAGCGCAAAGAAAATCGCTAACCACAGAGCGGTCAGGTTCTTATAATCACCATGAAGTGTGACCACACGGACTGCAGATGAGGCAACACTGTTTTTGATTTAGAGAAAAATCACGGTATTGCCATGAAACTTCAGCTGCACGCAGGCAGGGCAGCAGAGAGCTCCAGCCGAATTCAGCGGGGTTGTTTCTGTGGATGAGCATTACTGTCATTTTCCATGAAACTAACTTTAGATGCAGAACGCTAGCAAGGCCTTCTCTCTACAAAAAAGCCTTGAGACATGTGGCATGAGTAACTGATCTCCACTTGCTTACAGAGATCCTAAAATAGAGGTGAAGTGTGAATATCCCATTTGTTTCACAAGGGTGTCGACAGAAATTCCTCACGAGGGCCTTGTCTACTATCGAAATCTGCACCTACAGAGCTGTAGCTGCATATAGGCAAGAGACTGTTCACTTTTTACCGTGGAGGAATGCAGTAAGATGAACTACTACAGAATATTTTATATTTGATATCAGGTCCAGCAATAGCTACACGGGTGCAAGCTTCCAGGACGCGGACAGATTGATGACTTGACAGTCTAAATTAGATGTTCCTAAATTTTCTTCATCGACAGATCACTCTCCCCTTTCAAACCTTTTTTTTTTTTTTTTCCACCCAGGAAAGTAAGCACCTTTATCACCAAAGCTGGGGGAGGAGGAAAATAATATAAATCAGATGCAGACGACTTACAGCAGATCTGGATATAAAGCTGGGAGTACTCATTTTAATATTTGCACCCTATCAATTGAATTAAAAATTATTATACTTTTCTACATTTAAATATTTGATTTTAGGTCACCTGGAAGTGATGTTTAGCAGACACACAACTACCTGCCTGCTCCCTTTTCCCTCTGATGCGTGAGGACACAAAGCTCACAAGGAAATGCAGGTGTATGTGTTAGAAAACATGGATCATACAGTCCTGTATGCTATTATGAGACAGAATGTTCTGCGGATAAATAAGGTGTTGCGTTTCTAAAGCTACAGAAAAACGACATGCAAGGATTTAATGACATGTTTCTGTATTTAAAAAGTGCATATTCCATCGGTCCAAGAATGAATGAAGTACACCAGCCACTACGCTTTGTTTAATCACTGTCAACAGCTACATTGCTCCGTGAAGTCCACAGGCAGCTATTAATCAATTACAACTTCAGAAACCCCCTTTGCACGTTGCCATTATGGAGAGCTATGTAGAGCACCTTTGGCCTTCATTCCAAAAGAAGTGAGGGACAGAGAAGAGCAATTCACACAGCACGGACAGGCCTATCGACACGCAGGAATCACTGCTATTCAGCTTGAGTAAGAACTTATTTCGGTGGATTATATTTTAATGTGAAAAACTGCATTTGTTGGTAACGGGGAATTGCTGTACTGCAAAGAGGAGTGCTTGGTGGTTACGACAGGTCTGAAACGGGCTCTCCAGTGCTCCTAAACACGGCTCTGGTCCTTTATTAGATAAACGGGAAATGAGGCGCTAACCCCTGGAAGAAATGGTTTTGTAACAGGTGCTGCTCCAGGAGCAGTTCGGTATTTAAAAGGGCGAGTAAAAAAAAAAAAAAAAAAAAAAAGGTTAAAAAAAAAAAAAGTCGTATGACCTAAAAAATAAAAATCATCCGTGTGTGTGTGTGAGAGCGCTGCAAGCACCTGCGGCCGAAGCCCCTTCGCAGGCGGCTGCTGCCACGTCAGTCTCGCCCGCTGCCGCCCGGCGCCGCGGCCCCGGCCCCGGCTGTGCTCGGGGAGCTGCCCGGGGCTGCCCGGGGCCGGGCGCCGCTGGCGGAGCGCGGAGCCGGGCGGGCGGCGGCGGCCCCCGGAGGCCGGCCCCGAGCGCTGCCATCCGCGCAGGGGTCACATCCCCGGCCGGGCGGCGCCGCCACCGAGCCCGCGGGGAGCCGCGGCGAGCCCAGCCCAGCCCGGCCCGGCCCGGCCGAGCCGAGCCCAGCCCGGCCGCCGGGGCCGGGGCCGGGGCCGAGCCGAGCGCCGCCGCTGGCTGCCACCGGAGCGGCCTCCGCCCGGCCGTGTCGGCCGCCGCCGGGGCCGTCTGGCATCCGCCATTATCCTTTGTTCGCGGCGGGGCCGCTGCGGGGCTCGGCTCCATCTTTATCGCGGGCGCCCCTCCCGCGGGGCGCTGCGGGGCCGGGCCCCCCGCCTGCTGCCTGCTGCCGGCCGCGGGGCCCCGCCGGGCTGCGGCTGCTTCCCTCCCCCCCGCCCCTGCTCGCTGGGCGCCGTCCTCCTCTTACCGGTTACCAGGCTGCTCCGTCACTGCTTTCGTTCGCGCCCGGGCTCTCGCCGCAGTTTTATTCTCTCCCCCACGTAACACACCGCGTCAAACTACACCTCCGCCGCGTCACTCGCGCACACACAGGCGCTCCCAGCCCGGCGACAGGCAGGCAGCGGCCGACTGAGGAGCGCCAGCCAGGGAGCAAGCGCCGAGCGCGCCGCGGCCCGCACGGAAAGCGCCGAGCGTTCACGGAAACCGCCGAGCGCGCGGCGGGGCGGCGGGAACGGCCGAGCGCGCCGCCGGCCCCCGCGGAAAGAGCCGAGCGGCCGCGGAAACGAACGAAGCGCCCCGGAGGGGGAGGCGGAAAGAGCCGAGCGGCCGCGGGAAGGCGCGAACGGCGCTTCCGCCCCGGGCGCCCGGCGCGCGGGACCCTCCGGCCCCTCGCGCCGTCCGGCCCCGGGGCACAAAATGGCGGCGGGCCGGGGGCGCACGCGGGGCCTGGGGCTGCTCGTGCGCGGGGCGCGGGGGGCACGCGGGGGGTTGGGGGCACCGGGGGGGCGCGGGGCGTCTGCGGGGCTCTCAGCAGTCGCTGGGCGAGGCCGTGCTGGGGGGGCGGTCCCGAGGAGCCGGTGCCGCCGCCAGCACGGCTGCAGCGGGTCAGGGGGCGGCGGGGCGCCCCTCGTCCCCCCGCGGGGTGAAACAACTCCGGCAGCAACTCCTGGAGCCCCCCCGGCGCTGCTCCGTGCGGCGCGGAGCCTGCAGGTGGCACTGCGCGACAAGCGCTGCGGCTCCGCTCCGCTCCGTGCGGCGCCTGGCCCGGCACACGCCGTGCAGGCAGCCAGCCCCTGCTCCGGGCAGCCTGCGGTACCGGGCGCTGGGCAGGCCGTGTCTGCGCAGGGAGGCTGGGCAGGTTGTATTCAGATGGCTAAATGCATCCAAAATTAAAAAGAGATGCCTCAAATACGTGTTTGCTGCCTGATTGTTTTTGTCGATTGCAGTCATTCTAAAGCAGACTGAAATAAACCACATTTGATTTGGGATGTTGTGCTGCTGATGGCACAAAACACGGCTTGGGCCACATCTTGTTTTCCACTTCTGTTGCACTTTTTCCCTCTGACCTGTCTGCAAGCAGGAACTCCAAGGTCGCAAGAGCCTATGCAAGAAAATATCTACAATGAGCAGAACAAATGTAGCCATCTGAGTGTCTCCTGTCTGATTCGTGCTTTTCTCTAACTGTTTTCCTATTCCTTCTTTCTTCTTTGTGTTCACATTCGTGTTGCATCAGCTTCCTTTGCTCCCCTAGTGACCAGCATCACGCATGCTGTTTACACATTCCCATTTCCCAGAACTGCCTTGCCCACCCTGGAGCAGCAAGCCTGAAGGATCATGGCAGTAAGCCTTTAGGAGAATAAACTCCAGTCCTCGAAAGGCAACTGCAAGGCACTAAGCAGGCTTCAGTGAGCAGCTCCCACCAGCAGCCTGGGCTGCATGCTCAGCCGGAGCAGCAGGAGGGCTGCCAGTGGGACCGGATTACAGCCGGTCCCCGAGCTACTCAGGCAGGCAGCTCCTTGCGTGGCTCTGATCCTGCTGCCCATTTAAGGCCAGGCCGATCCTCTGGCATCCCGCTGGCCCTCCCCAGCCCTGTGCTTGCACGCAGCTCTCAGCTGTGCTCTCAGTCTCTGTCAGCTCACCCCTGAGTCTGCAAAGGGCAAAGTGCAGGGGTGGCTGCTCCAGACGGCGTAGGCTCCCCGTGTAACGCACAGCCGAAGAGTGCAATTTATCTCAAACCAGAACAGATGCCTCAGATAGGTCAGATGCCTGGAGTCATTTGAGATTGCGCCAATGTTATGTTTCTGTGGTATCTTCATCTCTTGCCCACGGCCGAGGCTAAGACCATATGTGGACTGGAGCTGGCTTCAGCCCGGACTCACACCGGTTCAGTGGAAGGGCTGGGTGAACATCTCGTGTGCAGCTGCTTTGAAACCTTCTGGCAGCTGTTTTGCACGTTCCTCTTTTCTTTCCAGTTTTTTTTTCTTTCTTTCTTTCTTTTTTTTTTTTTTTTTTTTTTTTCCTCTCACCAGATCTGAGCAGAATCAGGACACTAAGCAAAACTGGAACTTCTTTGGAAGTGGGACTGAACATCTGAGCTGCAACAAAATCCTTCCCTTCCTGGCATCCATGCATTCCTTTCACCGTGGCCTTGTGGGGAATTTTAATAAAACTGGGACAGTAATGATGTGCTGATTACCCACGAAGTCCAAGAGGGAGAGGTTGACTTGGGGAGCAAACTGGGATGCTCAGCAGTTTTCCTCTTCATCAGCAAAACTTTGCTTGATGATGAGTGAAACCCAGCCAGATTAATTACTTTTTTTACAGTTAAGCCTCAGGGGCAAATGAATTAGCTTTGCAGCTGCCAGGCAGATTATCCTGGGCAGTGGGCTCCTTGCACATGGCATTGCAGGTTGACTGCCCGTGGCTCAAGGCCTGTAGAGGCTAATGGGTGACACAGACCCAGCAGGGCTGGCGCCTGGCTGTAAGGTGCAGCACAGCCACAGCGAGCAGAGCCACTCAGAGCATCCAAGGCTACTGATGCTATTCCCACACAAGACAATACTTACTGTGGAAACACAGAGATGCGTGCATTTTTGGCACTCTGGTCTACACACTGCTGTGAAGAGAGCAACACAAAGTATTTTCGACTGGACACAGCCACCTCCGTGACTGATTTATAACAAAACAGTCTTTTGGCATCAAGTCCTCGCTGCTAATTCCTACAGGAACATTGTGGTCTGGCAGTACAGGGGCAGAGAGAAGGTGTTTGGTACAAGGATGGTTTAACGAACAGCATGAGTATTGCTGGGGAGGCAGGGGTGCAGAACGTGCTCCAGGGCTTCGCAGCCACATTCGCTAATGGATATTCTCCCAAGGAAAGAGACAAAAGGAGAGTGTTTGCAAATAATGCATGTGGAGGGGGGCAGATGTTACATTAGACGGTTAGCAAAGTGCCCAGCACATTTCACTCTAACGGGTATCGCATTGCACTTCCCATCCGACGCAAATGTTGCAGCTGATTTCAAAGCAGATGCAGGGGGAGGCAGGGGGTGCCACCATGCCCCCGTGATGGACACGGCCATGCAGGAGCACTGATCCGATGACGAGTTTTGGGGCAGAAAATGAAGTTAATAAAGAGGTGCTATTCTGAAACCCAAGCAAAGACATGTCAGTCCTCCATTTCGGTCTGTGCGCCTGAGATGGATGGAGGCTTAGCTTCCAACTCCCATACAGAGCAGTCTTCTATCATTTCATAGCCTCTCAGGACCAGCTAAAACTGCTTACTCATCAGGATAAGGACAAAGCCCTACAGGTTTAGTATCTGCCAGGGAGCATAAGATTCACTGGACTCCCTGAGCACTTTATTACAGAAGTAGGTCTAAATTCACAGTTACCTCAGAACAAAGTAACCAAAAATAGAAATGGTTTTTCAACATCATCCCACTTAAAGTTAATGAACTGCAGCTCAGGTCTGCCCTTCCTGCTCTTGGACATTCATCATTGCTAAAAGTAATAAATCTTCCAGGCCAAATACAGGCTTTACAAGCAGGCAGATTGCATGCTCAATTAGCCCAGGGAAATTGTTCGCTTGGCTTAACCCCTGCCGTTTGAAATACGGAGTCCTGCCGCCGCGCCGGTCACATTTCTCCCACGGATGGAGCAGCCCAGGAGGGGAAATCCCGTGTCCCCAGCCAGGGACATGCTGCTCCTTGCCATGCCTCGCAGGCTGCTCCAGCAGGACTCGTCTGCTCAAGCAGTGGCCTGTCCCCGAGCCGAGCGTGGTGCCGGGGGAGAGGTGCAGGGTGTGTGCTGTGCATCCCCCAGCACAGGTCTCCAGCAGCCAGGGCCCTGGGTTGTGCAGTTCAGATACAGATGTTGCCCCGCTCTTTATCCAAATATCATGTTGCGTTCCCCCACCGAGTCCCCTTCCTGCTAAGCTACATCCTTTGCCCCCATCTCGAAGCCACTTGGTGATATATCAAAGGTGGGATTTTGCCTGGGTGCAGCAGTGCAGGTGCAGGTTCACACCGTGCTGCTGTTCTTGCCTTGGGATTGACAGATAAACGGCCTCGCAGCAGCTTGGTTATCGCTGTCATTGCACCTGACGGCAACTCCCTTGTGCCAGGTGTCAGCAAAACCGCGGGCTGAATATCTAAAGGTCACGGGGGCTCTGAAGAGCATCTCGTGTTTCCAAGTGACGGACTGTCACACGGAGGGAAGAGCTAAAATGAATTGCTGACCAGCGAGGGGCTTAGAAATGCTGCAAACACATCCTCGCACTCCAAACCACGGTGACATTTTTCTTGTCTATTAAGCTCTTTTATCACATATTTCATGGCTTGTGGGCATACTCAAAACCCTTCTGTTGCTTAAAGAACTAGAAAAACTGATGAACGATATTGGCAGCGCTCACTAAAGAACCAGGCATGGCAAACGTGAGGAGGACGGGTCTGCAGCTGGGACCCCGTGTGCTGGGGTGTGCTGTGGGGTGAGGAAACACCAGCCTGAGGTGAGGGAGAGCTGAGGCTGCCTGGGAAGCTGCCCATCCAGGAGCTTTTCCTTCCCCACAATAACAGGATTTTATCTACCACATGTGGAGGAAAAAGCTGTCGGAGGAGGCCTGGTGGAAGTCAAAGCTGAAATGAAAAAGTACACTGAATCTAGTGACTGCTGTTTGACTGAAATGGGGAGGAGGGGTGGAAATTTTCAAGGAATAATTCTTGGAAATATCCACTGATTTTTGGCCAGCTTTGGCCCCGAGTGCATGCATTTTAGCCCAAAGTTGGCTGCTGGGGGTTTTTGCTCTGCTGGTAAATTCTGCGTTTCTATCGGCACAGCCTGCTGGCTTTGAGTCAGCTCCTATCATATAGAAAACATTATTTAGAGTGACTTTCACACTTTGAAAAAATAAATCTTACACCTCCCTAGCTGTCTTTCTGCCATGCGAGAAGCTAGCAAACACTCATCTGGTGAATAATTTTGGTGGTGGCAGGAAGACGGGAGCCTGCGTGTGTGGTGTTTGGTTTCGGGATCGCTATCTCACCGTCTCGCTGTAATTTAACAAATGTCTGCGTATGTTGAGCCGCTCCAGTTTTTAGCATGTCCATTCACTATGAAGTCGGGTTGCCGGAGTTGTGGGAAGGAGGGGGAGGTTGTTGGGAACCAAAATACCAGTAGGAACACTCAAAGGGTAGTGCAGGTTGATCTGAAGCAAAACAGGAAAAAAACAGGGTGGGTGGAAGAGCAGGGGAATAATTATCATTGTCTTCCTTAGTTTCCCATTACAAGTGTATGCTATCTATTTTAATGTAGCTGCACGAGGGAACCACAGTTCCTTTCACACATGCCAGGGCTCTGGTCTGTCTCTCAGCCTGCAGTATCCAAACAACAAATTGGGCTCCCAG